AAAAAAAAAAAAAAAAAAAAAAAAAAGATAATGGCAGCATAATTTTTAATATGTTCATTTTATTGCTAATAAAATAAATATTGATGACAATGTCCTAAGAAAGAGATAGGGAGGCATACCATCAGCCATGTCCTTTGTTTTATGAAGAAGAAAAGTTCCTGAAAGAATGGTCACAAATCCACACATCTCCGTTACAACCTGTGTTGGGCTCTGCCTGTCCCAGTCCTGAAACAAGTAATTCAAAAGACGTTGAAGTCTACCTTCATTTAAATATTTAAAGGGAACAATTCTAATGTTCTATATTGTCACTAATGTATAACAAGAATGATTGAAGCGCCATATGAGTCCAAATTGTTATGTGTTGCTCCTTTGTTTTTTATTCTTAGTTCAAGTTCCCTGTAATTTCCTGTTAAAATCCCTCTCCTTGCTGGCTTTTGCCTGTGTTTTTATATCCTAAGGTAGCGTGCTTTCATTACCCTTAATGAAAGGAATATGTTATCCCAAAGAGAGTGAGTGAGAGAGAGGATATGTTTAAATATAAAGTATGGTCTGACACTGCTACCAAGAACGTAATGGTGCACTGTGGCTTCTAGGTCCATCTATAAACTAGAACAGAAGACACTGACTCATAGAACCAGACAACAGCAAGAAAGGATATTCAAGCATGCAAAACTCCAAATGTTCCTCATCTATGTGATCCTTATTGTGCTGTGTCAAATTTTTAAACATATCACGATACATTTGATCATATTGTGCGTGTAAAGGAACCAACATCAGCAGTCGGACAAACCTTAAACATAATCACGCTGGCCAAGATGGTAAATGATGTGAACATAACGTAGTATATTGGGGACACAACAGCTGTATTAAAAGTGTCTAGTGCCTGCAAACAAAGAGAGAAGAAATACATTGGCCAGATGAGATCATACACAAAGTTGTATATTTAGATAAGAATTGAGAATAAGTAAACAAATCGGTGAAATAAAAAAGATAAACAAAGAGAGCTCCATTTTAAAGCTAGTTCAATCATCCATGGGGGGCATCGATAATGTAGGAATCCACAACTATCTTGAAAGTTTCAATTTCTTTCAAACCAGATTTCCCAGATAAGGACCTTGCTAATGTTGTTCCAATGAACTTTCATCTTACCTCAAAAAGGATTCCTGCATAAAGTCTGAAAAATAAGAATCCTCCTAACATTTCTTGGGAAGCACCGTTAAATTCCAAAGATGCTTAGGATAGTCAATCTGCACATTATACCACATTTAGAGAATCCATTTTTGCAAGGAAGCACCAGATAGGAGAAAATAAGGTGTTTGGATGACATTTATGTGCTCTTTCATACGTGTGGACTCCTTTCCAGCATATGGATCAAATGAAGATCTTTTTTTTTAGGCACACTCTGTTCCAAATCTCTTTCCACAAGTCTTTTCCAAATACTGAAACTCCTCTTCCACTGAGATGAAGAAACTTACAAAAACCCAATACCACAAGAAACAAAGGGCAAGAGCAAACAAAAAGCACAAATTAAAAAAAAAGGTGGGTGGGGGAACAGCAAGTGCGATTAACAGTTATGAGAGATCAAAAGAGGTGGAAGTTCTTAAACAATGTAGACGCCAACCCTGTACCAATTCCTTCATATAACTGTGAACAACCCGCATCATTCCAAACTCATTATAGCAAAACAAGCTGGAAGAACTAACTTACGTTGAATGAAGAGATGACCCTAATTTTCTTCATTTTGGCAGCACAACACTCACCACAACACTACTACAGTAATCTCCTCTTAGTCTTGATCCCTCTTGAGTATTAAGGTCTACTCTTGAAATGACCTGTTTCAAATGATCTTGGTGATTTCTTCAGGAAGAAAAATCATGTTTTATGATAGCTACCAAACGAATTTGGTTAAAACTCTCATGGATCACTTTAACGTTCACACCCTTCTATCCATGGATGGATTTGGTTAAGTCATTCATCAATCACTTAATATCCCTTTCTTCTTGATCACAGGGAAACAGTTCCAAGTAAATTGCATTGTTTTGGTTCTTTTGCACTAATATCCCTTTTGCATTGTTTGGGTTGCTTCGCCTTTAATAATCTGGCACTACTTCAGAAAAGAAACGGAGTACAAACTTCAAACCAACTCATCTTATATATACTCATAGTTGAATAGCTATCTATTCCAATTTTTTTATAAAAAATACCGGAGATCAAATTATTAACTCTATGAACCATAACTATCATATCATAACAATACAGGGCCAAAGCTAAAAGTGTTTCTGAAAATACCCTAGATGAGCACAACATACCTTGTTTAAATAATTCATCTGGGTGAGCACACAAGTAATCACAACTAAAGTAAATATCCACGTTTGAGGATATATTAGCTGGTTCATTCCTGACAATGTTAGCTTCAAGGCAATTCCTATTGCTTTGACACTCATGACCTGTTGTTAGACATTCAGTTACGAAATCAGTTGAAGAACAAGGAAAAAACTTATACTGGAGCAGATAACATTTAGAAAATACAAAGGTAACAGGGAAGCTAGATGGATACATACCGACAAAGATCCTACAAGGGAACATACACCAATGTAAACCATAATGTGAGTCTGGCCATATTGTGGTATAAAGTGGAATATAAGTATAAACACAGTTGTCATGACCGATGCTGCATACAACAGAAAGGCTGCAAAATAAAAGGTAAAGTTACTACCAACATGATATTTAAATAAAATAAATGACTGCTTAAAACCGAAGAATCATATATAGAATACAAAAACAACAGATAATGAATCATGTTCAAGATCACTTTCCAGAGTACCAAGATACATATATGTCAAGCAAGATTTGAACTCATGCTCTTGACTCATGCACCCCATATATGGTGGTGAGCTTTCACATTTAAGAAGAGAGTGCAGAAAAGATGAAGTAAACAGTCTTTATTTTATTGTGGAGACACCAAGAAAGGCCATATTGGTTTAATACGAAGCTCCAACGCTTCTAGCTACACTTGTGAGTGAGAAAAGAGTCGCCAACAGTTCCTCTCTTTGCTTCTTCACTAAAACAACTTTGAGAGGGCAGGCTACAATATGGAAATAATATTTTGTTCAAAACAATGTAGACTTGTGATTGGAAATGGTTGCTCCATGAGGTTTTGGAATGGCCTCTGAGAAGTGGATTCCACACTCTTCACAATTTGTAAATCCATTTAATAGAAAAAATATATAACAAAACTCTTGTCTATAAAAAGAAGAAAATAAAATAAAGAAAGAATAATAATAATAGCCAAAATCACTATTAACCAGAATCAATGACATTTGAAAGAGAGGGACAGAATTTCACAATAACAAAAACTTACCTGGCTCCATGGCCATTTGCCACACTTCAGTTACAGATTCAATTTCACGTTCTTGAGGAGCATGGAGCACAATGGTTGTGGAACCCACTACACAAAGAACGCATCCAAGAATTCCAAAAATATGCAACCTCTCCCGCAAAATAATATGTGCAAGTACTGCACTGCAAGATATCAAGATAATATGAGATTAACAACCATAAATTCTAACTTAATATGTGTGCAATTTCAGACCATGCCTGATAATTATGCTGAGAGCACCAAGTGGAGTAACCAGTAACGCTGGAGCAAATGCATAAGCCGCAAAATTAGCAATTTCTCCTACAATCACTGTAAAGATAACAATTGTCAGGTTAGGATCTATGCTTTTATTCACTGTAACTTTATTTTTTCATTCCATGAGAATTAGTCTCTTTTCATTCTTCAATAAAAAGTTTCATTTCTTGTTTAAAAAATATATATATAATAACAATTGCGAGGTTAGGATTTCCCTTTTTATGTTCCAGTTTCAAAAAAAAAAATATATATATATATATATACCCTTTCATTATACATCAGTCTATTCAAAAGGATTATATGCTTTGCTACAATAAAGCGTCACCATGCTAGTTTTACATAGAATACATTGATATCTAAGTCCACTTTTACTGGAAAAAGAAAAGCCCCGGCCCCTACGTCCTTTTTTCCATTAATATTTGAGAACAATGACAATAATTTGCTCCTTTCTGTAAATTTATTGAAACTAAATGCACTGAATAGAGGAAGAAGCCAAATACCTAATCACTTGTTCACAGAAAATGTTTGCTTAATAGAGGAACATCTACTGGACAAAATGTTTGCTTAATAGAGGAATATCCGGTCTTACAGGCTGATCGAAAATCTTACATATAAATTCAGAAATCTGTTTGGTGGGAGATCTTACAAGTAAATTCAGTGATCTCTATTTAGTGATTACATGTTCTTAAAAAAGGTGCCACACTGTATCAAAATAACAACGTGAACTGATTGTATATAAAGTTCAAAAAGAGCTAGTGGATCCTAAATGTTCATTTAGTATCTAAAGGACTTGAAAAAAACTGAGCAGAGAAGTATGTCAAGCCTGGCTGGGAAATAAATAATCAAGACCATTATCATAAGCTACATTATAAAAAGCCAAAAAGACTTACTTGTAATCATCCCCACCCACCATAGTGGCTCGTATAAGTAAGAATAACCTCCAACTCCTGACATAAATCATCACAGCAACCACAGTAAAAAATCTGCTAGATAACAGTTACCGTGCACCTTAAAGCATGAATAAAGATAAGCAAGCGCCAATCATCAACTTCAAAGACGATAGGTTACTAGACAAAAATCTTGACGGCTAAACACAATGGTATTCGTGATGTTGATAAAATTAAAACATATTGAATTAAATTCACAACATTTAGCGCAGGTTCTGATACTTAAAAGGGATTAAATAAACCTTTTTTGGCAATAGGCCTCCAAATAAGCAAGTACTACAATTGATTAACTAATAGGTATAATAGATTCAATTTTCCAATTCAAATCAACCGAATCCGTCGAGAACATCATTAAAAGCGTGACCCACCACTAATTAAGAACGGGCCAAGACATGAAACACTAATTGCACATAATTAACACTCAATTACAGAAGCTTTCTAAAAATTCCTCAAGGAGTCAAAAACAAAGAAATCCAGGAACTACATTAACACCTTGTTGGGGTAAATTGAAGCAAACAAGAAGAGAGAGTAAGAAACCTGCTCTGACTCCTGAAGCGCCGGCTTTCTTCAAGCCCTTTTTCTTAACAATGAAGCTAGCACCAATAAAGAAACTAGAGGAAAGAGCAAGAACCAAGCCCTTAATGTTATCAGAGGACATACCCTCCCGCCAACTTGGAGTTTGGGAGGTTGCCATGGCCAAGAGAAACCCTAGCTTCCAAGCTTGGAAACCATATCATAACATCAATGAAAAACACAATTCAGAAGGATGCTCAGAACGCTACTGAATCAATTGGAAGTGGAAGCAAATTGATATCGGATCTTGAGGCGAGAAAAACTCAGATCGAGATTATGTTGAAGTAAATTGTCGGCGCTCGAGACTGTTGTTGAACACACCGAGGAGATTACTTGGATCGGAAGAGAGAGAGAAAGAGGAGATCTAAAAATCTTGATTTAGTTTTACCAAAATAAAGACTACCCTCCGACTATTGTCTATTTATTTCCAAACAATAACAATTCCAAAAAATAAAAAATAAAAAACTCAAGAAGCTACCACCTTACCTTCTTTGATCTTACAAAAACGTAGGAATGTCGATGTGTGGTCTTACGACTTTGTGAAGACATGTTGTGGTAAATAATTGTTCGGGTTCGATCAGTGTGACCCTTTTGTGGAGAGGCGCTCTGTGATATCCCATATTTGTTGGGGGAGGAGAACAAATCAATATTTATAAGGGCGTGGAAACTTTCTCCTAATAGACTCGTTTTAAACCCTTGAGAGGAAGCCCAAAGAGGACAATATTTGCTAGCGGTAGATCTGGGTCGTTACAAATGGTATTAGAGCCAGACACCGGACGATGTGTCAGCCTTCTCGCTGTTCCCCGAAGGAGGGTAGGTATGAGGCAGTGTGCCAGTAAGGACGTTGGGCCCCAAAGCGGGTGGATTTGGGGGCAGTCCCACATCAATTGGAGGAAGGAAAGAGTGTCAGCGAGGACGCTGGGTCCCGAAGGGGGGTGGATTGTGATGTCCCACATTGGTTGGGAAGGAAAACAAACCACCATTTATAAGAGTGTAAAAACCTTCCCCTAGCAGACGCTTTTTAAAGCCTTGAGAGAAAGTCCAAAGAGGACAATATTTGCTAGCGGTGGATCTAGGTCGTTACACGCTCTTATTTTTTCTGGCTCAGTTTTCAAGCATCGATTGATTTAAAACACCTAGAATCGATCAGTTTTCAAGCATCGATTGATTTAAAACACCTAGAATCGATAATACAATTGAGCTTTTTCAACACATAAGAAAATGGTATGAACATCCCTACTTACTGGCACGGGTATACATCACGAGCAACAAAAGTAATACAATAGAGTATTCCAAAGATCGGTTTACAGGAAAAAGTTAACTCAAATACAGGACTCATACAACTAAGACGTACCAGATTCTTAAGAAATAGAATACTAAGACTATGTGTCGAACGTATAAATTAAATACTGCAAAAATTATCAACCTGAAATAATAAGATGATATTGGTTTGGCTCGAGATCCCATTGTAATGCATTGTCACTCGAATTAGCTATGTATGTACGGTTTTCTTCTCAATTAGACATAGGTTTCTACTTCCCCTCAAACTTTACATCCGCGACATTGAGAACTATGAACCTTTATATTTCTATACAAAATTCATTACCAAGCAACCTGACCTAATAATATAATAAACGTAACTAATTCTAAGCTCTCAGGCTCGTATCGTTGTCGTCGCCCTCGAACTCGATTACACCAAGATCAAGAAGATTCTAGAATCTTCAAAGGTCGAGTTCTGCGAGTTTCGCCGGATTTGGGCGGGCGAACGAGGAGGATGTTGAGGATTCCGCCGTGGGAGATTCTTCAACCGATTTTGAGAGTGTTGGGCCACTTTACAAAATTTTTAATCTTTGTAAATTAATAATAAAATGATAAATTATTATATTCAAATTGACAATATATCTCAATTTTAATTTAAAAAACAAAATCAAACAATTAAATGTAATTTTATCAAATTGGGTCACATATGGTATTGGGCCAAGCTCAAACAAAGCCCAAGCCCAAAGCCTACAAACCCAAGTCCAAATAGTTGGGCCCAAAAGCCATTAAAGCCCAAACCCACGTGTCCGTAAGAAAATCTCACTGAGATCGAAGAAGTTCATTTATTTATTTATTTATTTACTGCATTTTTCAAATATATTTTGTTGTTATATGGTTTTATACGGCAAATTTTCAAAGGGTAATTGTGTGATGTCCCAGGTTGGTTGGGGCGGAGAACAAACCATCACTTATTAGAATATGGAAACCTTTCCCTAGCAGAAGCGTTTTAAAGCCTTGAGGGAAAGTCCAAAAATGACAATATCTACTAGCGGTGCATCTGGGTCGTTACAGTAATTTTTGTAATTTTGACTATAATTAATCACGGAATAAATATAATCTTAAAACAAATAAAAAAAAATCTTAAAATACATTAATATAGCATCATAACTCTGGATGTTCAGAAGTACCATATTTTACTAAGTCGTGAATCTTTACTAATAGTAAATGGTCGTTGATTGTGTAAGACGCGTTATTTGACAAATGTAAAAGAAAATTGTTAAATTATGACCGAGTCTACGATCAAACAAACAACGACATCATTGTTCAACAAATGGACGAAGTTGAAAGACTTATATGGTCCACTTTTTTTATTTTTTATTTTTATTGGCGGCTATGACTTTGTCCCAATTCTTCATGCGGTAGTTTTTTTCTTTCATAGAAAAAGACATTTTCATCTATTAGCTTGAAATAATTAAAAGACGGAAATAAATTAAAGTCTTGCCTATTTAATTATGATAAGATTATTCTTAGTCAAATCAATTCTTTATTTCATAAAATATATAAAACAACAAATATTATTATTTAAACATTTAAATTTTTATAAGAATTTAAATAAACAAAATTAAACTATATTAAATTTGGAAAATTTTAGAAGTTCTACCGTCAAATTATTAATATTTCAATTTTCTTAATTTTTTTATTTAAAAATTAAGAAAAATATAATACTCTAAGATAAAAAAAAAACATCGTAACAATGGAGATATTGTCTCAGTAGAATTTTAACTATATTCCTACTCGAGAAAAAAAAAATATTTTTTTTTTTGTTGTAAAAAATGTATTAAAAAATTAATAATATTTTTGCAAAGGGTTTTCCATGACTTTTCTAACCCAAAGTTTGGCATAAATAAAAACAAAATTAGAAATTTAACACCATCTCTACCTGTAGCTTTCAAATAAGAATCTAATTAGATATACAATATATGGCAAAGAAATTAACGACCTAGTCTACACGTTGACGTATTAATTTTAATTTTTTTTTTAAAAAAAGGATCTTTCGCTATAAATGCACATATTTTTTGTTTCTTGTTGTTAGCGCATCTCTTTTTTTAGCATTGAACTTAAATGTATGTGTCAATAACACTCAAATTACTTTAAAACTTAGGGTTAATAGGTTGAAGATATTTGCAAGTGTCTTTCATGACTTTTCTGACCCACATTTTTCAAGCATCATTAGATAGGGAGAGGAGTTGGTTTGGATACATAAATGGAGGAGTTTGGAGCATTCATTCTTCACCATTCCATAAGCCACAATGATATCATCACTCACTCTAACCTGCTACTCTTCTTCCATCCATTTCTTCCTTTTACTTTCCATGGGATTCCATCTCTCCCTGCAAAGCAATATCAGATGCATGGAAACTGAAACACAGGCCCTCTTATCCTTCAAGCAAGGACTTCTCAATCCATATCGTGTTCTCTCTTCTTGGAATGCAGGAGCCAACGTTGATTGTTGCGACTGGAGAGGTGTCCGATGTAGCAACAATACAAGCAGTAGTCCTCACATCATTGGGCTTGATCTTCGTGGCTCGGGTGATGAGCGTTTGATCGGCGAGGTTGGTTCTTCCTTGGCTCAATTGACACACCTTGACTATTTAGATCTTAGTTCTAACGAGTTTGATCGAATTTCCCTTCAAGATATTGGCTCTCTGATCAATTTGAATTATCTCAACCTGTCTCATAACAACTTTGCAACTCCCATTTCTCCCCATCTTGGGAACCTTTCGAATTTGTCGGTTCTTGACCTTGGATCAAACGGCTGGGTAGTTGATAATCTTAGATGGGTCTCACGTCTTTCGTCGTTAAAACATCTCGACCTGAGTTCGGTAGACCTTCGTAGTAACAATGATTGGGCAGGTATCATGAACAAACTTCCTGTTTTACAACGTTTGTCTTTGAGCAATTGCAGTCTTCCACAACCTGTTCTAAACCCTTATGAAAACACCAATTTCTCTAGATTTCTAGCTAAATTGGACCTCTCTCTCAATCATGATCTCAATTCCTCAATCTATTCTTGGCTGAACAACTTCAGAAACAGTCTTACCCATTTAGATCTTACAAGGAGTAATCTGCAAGGTTTCAACATGGACGGTTTCGAGAACATGACTTCGCTTGTCTTCCTTAATCTTCGTTCCACGAAAGTTGATTTTCATTCTCCTAAGTGGTTTAAGAATCTCTGCAACTTGAAGTTGCTAGATTTATCTGGAAACAATGGGGGAGGATTGCTATCAGATGTTCTTAAACTCTTCCCACAATGTGTACTCAACTCATTGGAGACTTTATATCTCCCGTCAAACAAATTGTTCGGATCCTTGCCAGACTTCACTATTTTTCCATCTTTGAAAGAGTTAGAATTATCCTTCAACATGTTGAATGGACCTATTCCTCAAAGTTTGGGACAGTTATCTAGCTTGGAGCATATAGGTCTGAATCAAAATTTTCTGGTGGGTGAAGTTTCTGAAGCTCATTTCTCCAAGCTTGTAAATTTAAAAAGTCTGAATCTAGATGGAAACTCACTGGCTTTTAACTTCAAGGAGGACTGGGTTCCTCCTTTCCAGTTGCAGTCGATAAGTTTGGTGAATTGCTCGTTCAGCACACGTTTTCCAAGGTGGCTTCGAACTCAAAATTTCTCTTACCTTGACATTTCACTAAATCGAATTTCAGACACCATTCCCGACTGGTTTTGGAAGAACTTGTCCCCAGACTTGTTGTATCTTGATATTTCCCTGAATGAAATCAGGGGAGAAATCCCAGATTTAGACCTGAAGTTCAATCAAATGCCTGTGATCATTTTGGGATCAAATGAATTTGAAGGCCAAGTTCCAGCCTTTCTTTTCGGAGCACAAAACCTTGACGTTTCGAGGAATAATTTTACCGATATCTCTGGTTTGTGTGAAGTCAGATACTCCCCTTTATATTTACTGGATGCTTGCGCCAACCTATTATCTGGACAACTTCCCAATTGTTGGGACAAAATGCCCAATTTGGTATCCTTAAGTTTGGCCTACAATTCCTTTTCTGGAGACATTCCAACTTCTTTGGGTAGTCTCACCACATTGAAGTTCCTAAATTTGCGCATAAATAATTTTTCTGGAGAGATTCCTTCTTGGTTCAACTATACAGAGTTGAAAGTCTTCGATGCGTCATACAACAATTTATCTGGAACGATACCTTCATGGATTGGGTCGAGATTACCAAATTTGGTTCGTCTGAGTTTGAGGTTTAATCACTTCCAAGGAAACTTACCTTCTAGTCTTTGTAACCTCAGAAATATCGAAGTATTGGACATTTCGTTCAATTCTATTTCGGGAAGCATACCAACTTGCCTCCATAATTTTGATATCTTGACAGGTACATCCAATGCATCTATGGTTCAAGACCAATTGAGAGATCTTATTTTGATGTGGAAAGGGCAAGAAAGGCTCGTCCATGGACACAACTTAGAGATTCAAAGGGGTATTGACTTGTCTAGCAATCACTTAACCGGAGAAATTCCTAACGAAATCACAAAGCTGGTTGGTTTGGTTTCTTTGAATCTCTCGAGGAACGAATTAACAGGACAGATTCCAAAGGAGATGGGACAACTTCAATCGTTGGACTTTCTAGATCTATCGAGAAATCGTTTGTACGGTCCGATTCCATCGAGTTTCTCTCAAATATGGAGATTGAGTATGTTGGACGTATCATACAATAACCTTTCAGGAAGTATTCCCCCGGGAACTCAGCTTCAAGGCTTTAACACTTCATCTTATGCAGGAAACCCTTATCTTTGTGGAGATCCACTAAAAAAATGCGTTAGTGAACAAACCAGCTTCAACAGTAATGTTCATGTTGTGAATGAGTACGAAAAGGAACACACACTCATGACACAAGAGATGCTGATTAGCATCTCTGTAGGATTTATAGTTGGTTTATGGGGAATATTTGCTAGTCTTCTACTCAATAGGAGATGGAGACATGCATACTTCAAGTTTCTCACAAATATAATTGAGAAACTGAAGTGAAGCTATTGAAACACAGGTAACTCATTATATATTTGGATATTTCAACTTCTTCAATCCTCTTCATCAATAAATGGCATTATAGAAGAGTAAATTCGATGTGTAAAGTAGACAACGAAGCAACAGATAAACCAGAGGAAAATAAATAAATAGGCGAGACCGAGAGAAGCTTAGATATGATTATATGTCAGAGAGAGTGAAAACAGCCCCCCATCAAACATCCTAAACTAAAACATAACTTCAAAATTGCTTCTAATTGCGAACATGAGTATAATCTGATTGGTTAATACACATTATATGTATAGTATGAGTGAGACAGAGTTCTGTACCTCTTTTCCCACCGTCACGGTGCCAAAATCATCAAAGACACGATTCATTTCAATCTTTTCCCATCGACATAGGTACGAAAACTATCAAGACAAGATTCATTAGTACAACAGATAAAGTTCCATTGATTTATTTAATCTACCTTTGGTTTGAATTCCTCTGCCCACTGTGTCAAAATATAACATCATAACAAGGATAAAGAATCGATACCAGCAAATAATTGGATATGGAATCTTCTACCACTATATGAAAGACAACAACAAGAAAACAATCAAATACTTTAGCACAACAAATCAAACAAGTTAATCTCACTTGTGAAGTCCCTGACCCAAGGTACTGCACTTGATAGCCCCAATATTCCCAATTCCCCTACATCCCTAGCAATCTACATGTGCCACATAGCATCGTCGGTTGGCTTTGACATAGAAGGTTGTCTCTACAAACGAGCACGAGTTCTTTCGACATGTTTAATCATCACATACACACTTCTTAGAGGTCACCCAAACTAGAATTGCTCTAAGTTGCATGGGCTCAAAATCACTCTCATTTTTATGTGGTGTCAGTTTATTCATGTGTCATTTCGCCTAGAGGCCTATCGTTCTTGCCCATCCTTCCACTAATGCCCAAGCTACCACTCCAAGTGTCAAATTCATGGGCCAAACTTTCATTTTGGCATGGATTTGAACTTTGATTATAACTATAAGGAAAGACAAAACGCATACTCTTGCAATAGCCATCTGATATTTTTCAGATACAGTACACACACAAACCAAATTCAAGCTTAATCATGTTAGCGGAAACCAATCAAATCAATGTTCAATTCCTATCTCACTTCCCAGTTCCCACACCCCCTATTCTAGAACACAAATGGTAGCAAAAACTAGTGAAAATAATATCAATTTCCATCAAGCTTATTATAATTAAGAAGCAGAGTCATAATTGACAATTTTAGACAATTCTGGCAGCTAAAAGAAAATTTGAACCTGAAGTTAATCATACTTTTCTCTCCATGAATACATAAGAAAGAAAACCCATGACAATGCCAATGTGACATCCCCAACGACCTGTCGAGGCCAATCTTTAGCAAGATCTTCGAGCTTCCTCTCGAAGTAAACTCTCCATATGGCCATAGCTAAGTGAAGCAACACGCACCCTTTAGCAAAGAAGCTTTGGAAGTCTCTGTCTTTGACAAAAGCCACCATGAATAAAAGAAACCCAACAGTAAAGAGAAGCAAACCAGAGAAGGAATCAGATGTTTTTATCAGAAGCTGATCACGAGGGCTAGATCCCTGCAGCTTGATTGCAGTCTCAGGGCCATGGCCAAACACATAGACCTCGTGGGAATAAAACATCATTAAGGCTCCACATGTTAAAGCAATCAGAGAATGAAGCATACAAATTAACAAAAACCCAGATGATGCCATTGATTTGATTTGATTTTCCCCTGGTGAAGAAAGAAGACTTCCCCTCCTCTTAATTTCAAATAAAAAAACAAGAGTGGAACAGCAATGGAATCCCTAGAAGAAAGGAAATCTCTATGGCAAAGCGTACAAACCCAGCAATCAAAACCCCCCTGATAGATCCAATATGCGAGTTGACAGCGAGAGGATGTTGATCATGATCTGTCAAAAACCCTAAACCTCCGCCTAACAAGCCCTCATTCCATCCCACATTACACTGAACTAAAACTCAAATATGAACAAAGATCTCCAGCACGAATCAATCAAAAAATCTAGAAAAACAACCCTCAATTTCCAACCGAAATCCTAAACTCGATGCACTGGATGGAACCCGAAACGGGTTGTTGCAGAAAACAGAGGGAGAATTAAGAGAAGGAATGGGGAATGGGCAATAATGGATGGCAATCCCATGAGAAATCTTAAGAATTAATGAAGGGGTTGAGATCGAGAGAGATGGGCGGGAGAGCATGGGATGTAGTTAACTGCCATAGTCGCTGCTTCCAGTCGCCATCTCCATTCCCATACCATACCTTCTGCTGCTTCTCATGCGGTAAACGCCACGCCCCTACACCCAATTTCCTGTGTGATTGTGCTTGTGGCGCTGCAAAACAAGTTTGGTAGCGATGGGTCAATTTCAATTCCCAAAAATTCCATCCGCCATGATTATGGGGAAGAAGAAGGGATGGAAACCTTCAAACTAATTCGATTAATAAACTCATTATATGCTGATCAAGATTTGGAATCCAAATTCCCAGATTCGTGTAAGATTCATATAATACAGCTAAAGTGAGCATAGCGAATAAGCCTTCAACTAAGATGTAAAGTAAAAAGTTGGAATCTTCACACTTCTAAATATTGTTGAGATACATAATTAAATAAGCTAAAAAAATTCCTAAAATAAAAATTAAATTACTAATTTTAGTCTCCATTTGATTTTTTTTCTTTTTCATATTTTGAAATCAAATTTATAAATTTTACTTCCACCTCAGTTTTTTTTAATTATTTTATTTAATTAAAAAAATTCAAAATCAAAATCAAAATTTCAAAACTAATAATTATTCGAATTTCTTAATTTCTCCCACATAATGACAAAGGTGTTTACATTTTTTATAACACCAAATGAACTTGTCACATAAAAAATCTATTAAATACAAAAGTAGAGTTTCAAGACCTATTAAAATAAAATACAAAAGTAGAGTTTGAAGACCTATTAAAATATATAAAATATAAAAACTAAATAATCACGACCGTAAAAAGTTCAAATTTTATTAGAAACTATTTATGTTATGAATAATCATAATTTCTATTAATTTTATTAGAAACTATTTATGTTATGAATAATCATAATTTCTATTATTTCTTAAGGGTTGAATCTTAGAGGTTTCTCTTGTTCTTTTTTGTACTACTTGTTCTTCGTTAAGTCCTTCCAAATTCTTTGAGGGTCTTTTTACAAGCTTGTCCATTTGTGGCTTGTCCTTATAATCGTCCTTGCATTGTTTAGTCCTTAACTTAAGTCTGAGTTTAGGGTGTATTGCATTCCTTATACCCAACAAGCCTTGACGTTTGTGTCTTATGACTGTCTTCTTAATATCTTTGAGTTTAGGGCGTTCGGCCTTCCTTATGCTCAACAAGCCTTGACATAATCAATCTTATTCCTTGAAGGTTGTATCTTACCGGTTCCTTTTGTTCCTCCTCCTTGTACTACTTGTTCTAAGTTATGTCCTTCCATGTTCCTGGTTTGCCTTTCTTCGGCTTGTCTTTATAATTGTCCTTAAGTCCTTTAGTTATTAACTTATGATTTTAGGCCATGGACTTATTCCGGCATTTGTTCCTTTTGACTATCTTCTTAAGGTCTTTTTATTTAGAATATAAGTCTTCTTTAGTAATTCTTGTGTTACCTTATATCTGTGAGTTTATGGCGTATTGCCTTCTTTATACCCAACTACTTTTTCTTCTTTATGTTATTCCAAGTTCCTTAAGGGTCTTTTTTACGAGTTTGTCCTTCTCTAGCTTGTCCTTCTAATCGTCCTTCTCTAGCTTGTCCTTATTATGTCAAGGCTTAGTTGGTATAAGGAAGCCATAAGCGTTAACCTCCAAAACATAAGTTAAAGACTAAATGATTAAAGGACGTTTTTAAGGACAAGTCGAAGATGGACAAAACCGTAAAAGAGAGTATCAAGAAACTTAGAAAGACACAACTAAAAAAATGTAGTACATGAAGAAACAGGAGAAACCTTTAATTACAACCCTTCTGGAATAAGGTTGATTATGTCAACACATAAGTTGAAGACTAAAGGATTATTTCGGCATTTTTTTTTTCTTTTGATTCTCATCTCATCCTTTAATGAGAATATAAGTCTTCCTTCCTAATCCTTCGGTTAACTAACTTATATATTTGAGGGTAGATCTTAATGAGAATTTTGTCTTGGAGCTTGGACTAATTCCGGCCGTTTTTCCTTTAGTCCGGAAAATGTCCAACCTCCAAGGCATAAGTTAAGGACTAAAGGATCCAATGACGTTTTTAAGGACAAGTCGAAGATGGACAAAACCGTAAAATAGAGCCTCAAGAAACTTGGAAAGACATAACTAGGAAAATGTAGTACACGAAGGAACAAGAGGAACAGTTACAATCATTAAAGAATATGGTTGATTATGTCAAAAGATTGGTTGGTATAAGGAAGTCATCTTACCAAACAAGACTTATTTTCTGAATAGAAGGATGTTAGATGAGAATCAAAAGGAGCAAATGGCGGAATAAGTCCATTGCCCAAAGACATAAGTTAAGGACTAATGTGCTAAAAGACAATTTTAAGGACGGGAGAAACACGTAAAAAAGAGACCCTCAAGAACCTCTGAATTACCACTATTAATGAATATAGTTGATTATGCCAAGGCTTAGTTGGTATAAGGAAACCTCAAAGATACAAGGTAACACAAAGTTTACCAAAGAAGACTTAATTCTTGTGTTGAGATGAGAATTAAAAGGAAAACACGTCGGAATAAGTCCAAGCTTCAACACATAAGTTAAAGACTAAAGGATTATTTCAGCATTTTTTCCGTTTGATTCTTATCTCAACATCCTTTAACGAGAATATAAGTGTAATCCTAGAGTTAACTTATATCTCACAGTAGAGCTTAATGCTTCCTTATACCAACCAAACCTTGACATAATCAACCATATTGTAACTTAGAGGTTACTTTTGTTCTTCGTGTACTACCTTTTTCCTAGTTATGTCTTTCCAAGTTCCCTAAGGGTCTTTTTTTACGGGTTTGTCCATCTTCGACTTGTCCTTACAATTGTCCTTACATACTTTAGTTCTTAACTATGTCTTGGGGCTATGACTTATTCCGACATTTGTTCCTTTTGATTCTCATCTCAAAATCCTTTGTTGAAAATAGAAGTCTTCCTTAGTAATCCTTGTGTTACCTTATATGTTTGAGATGAGGGCTTAATGCTTTCTTATACCAACTAAACCTTGACATAATCAACCTTATTCCTTAACGGTTGTAACTTAGAGGTTCCGTTCATTTAGGTACTACTTTTTCTTACTTATGTCCTTTCAAATATTATGAATGTGAACATAGTTCATGTTGTTTAAGAGTGGAGAAGATCCTAAATATATAGGTAGACCATATTCCTTGGTAAAAGACCTTTCAAATGAATCTAAATGCAAAGATGTGTGCGGGTTCAGGAAATAGAATACTACTGTAGAAATATGGGCATTCTATCATTGAAAGACAAGCAAATACTGAAAACTATAACATCTCAAAATCAAACATCCCAAAACTTGCAGTCAAATGCTGACATAATCCCTGTGCCAACAAACAGAGTAACATCTAAAAGAAGCTAAAGCTACACACACTTCACAGCCAACAAATAACAATTATAAAAACAAAAACAACAATTACTTCCTACGTCTCCCAAAAACTTAAATTCAACTTCACAGCCTTGGGCTTGGAATCATACCAGTATTCCTAGCAGGTGCGAAAATCCCATTCAGAGCAATTGCTTTGTTCTTCCCCTCTCTGTTGTCGGAACCACCATTGTTTCTTTATTTTTTTTCATCTTGTTTGGCCATCACATATCAAGCCTGAATGGACCAGTTCTGTCAACAATTTGGTTTAAAAGTTAATCAAACTGAACCAATATACTTTTTCTTAAATGAAGAAAACAGCTTTCATTGAAATGAAAGAAAATTTAGCGAGCTGTACGAAAACAAAGCCAACCAACTTGGGGACAACAAAAGGGAAAAAGGAAAAAAAAAAAAAAAAAACAATAAACTAATGCAACCAATTTATTTCCAATTCAGATGGAAAGATGTTCAAAGAAAAAGAAATGATATATATATACTGTATGAAGAAAACAAAATACAAGAATGTTGTACTTGTACTGAGAATGTAGTAAAATAGCAGCAAAATGCACATGTAAATCCTGAGAATATTGTACTTGGCCATCATAAACTCAGGACTTTTGATATCTACCTGTATAATTATTTTTATCTTCACATTCATGAATGAAGGCTTTTGTTCTATTCTGTTAAAGGGATTCATATATGTGTTTCTAACCATTTTGAGGCAGTAAGATCAGCAGCAATCCAGAAAGTTTTGGGTTTAAGACAAGCACTTACCACCAAGCCTGCTACATATTCCATTTAGATTGATTCGCCATCATAACTTTATGCTTCAGCTAGTTACAACCGCGTCCTCCACCAGCCTTTCGTCTTCCACCAGCCCAGTTGAAAAGCTGATATGATGCAGAACATGCAAGAGTTTGATCAAACTAAACTACAAAGAGAAAACAACAATGTGTCTACTAGTTGGACGAGCTTTGTCGAACTCATTTACCTCTCTGGGCCCTGCTCTGTTTTCAGGGTTGCAGTCTGGACTGATCCCAATCCCTTCAAAGCCCAATCGGGTAGCGAGGAAAGCACATACACGCACCTGCGACACCGTCCAAAAGCAAAATTTCAGGGTGACTGAAATACGAAAAACCATTGAGAAATTTATCAATTAAATACCGTTTGAGAGGCAGAAGTAGGTGGCATGAACAATGTTAGACCACCATCAATGCGTAGTAGTCTATTCCGGAAGACTGTGACGGGTCTTGGCGCTAGGTATCTACACAAAAGCGTTATTTCAGCCCAGAGTCATTTACCTAACTAGGAACAAACAGTAAGAACATTCAAGAGGATGTGAAACTAAAATACCCACCCTGGAATAAAGGAAGAAGTGAAAACTGCATTGATGGAAGAAACTTTTCAAGAACTTCCCTGAGTACAGCCTGAGGATTTAAATGAGAAAACATTACAATCTAAACCAGTAGATGACTTAAGAAAGAACTGCAAATCTAAACCAGTGGATAAATTGAAACTTACCACGTTGCCATGAACCTACTAAAACGCCCTAATCCTTCTTAATCGAAACCACGGAAAACACAAAAGGTGTCGATAACAGGCAAAAGAAAAGAAACGATGAACAATCCTTTGATTAACCTCTGAGTTCTCCAGTGAACCCCAAAATCGGAACAGGATAGTCAAGAGCAAACTAGGCTGAATGAAGTTACATTACCTCTACTTTTCATCACCGTGACGAGGCGGGAAACTTCCTTCGATTCTGCTCTCTCTTCCTCTGATTGCCTGGTACTGATCTAGAATTTTATTTCGGCGACGAACACTCGAGAGGGAAAGAGGCCGTTGATCGAGCGCTCTGATTCTAGTGGGAGAATGTGCGTGCCGGAGAAATATATATGATCCGTGTGAAAGGTGCTGTGGCCGAGACAGCTGGCGTCCGACTAAGCGATGGCTATAACAGCTCTGAAGATCGTTTGACTTTGACCGTGAAAAACCGTCGTCGATCCAACGGCTAGGTATAGTTTAGATTGATGTGTTCTTTTTTCCATTTTTGGTTCAATTAATTGATTACTTAATTTCATTTCTTCCGCAGTTCTAGGGATTTTCAGAATTTATTAACAATAATTTGTTTAATTAAAACAAAAAAAAATCATGTACGACCATTAAAATTTCTCTCTCTTGTATTTAATTTTTCTAGTCCACGGGCCTGTAACTTACAGAACAGAGCGTTAGTAGAACAATCATTGAGTGTAATGTCAGATTCACGAGTTCTTATAAAATCTTACCAGAGCATTGAAATCACTTACGAACCTTATCCTTGCTTGGGTGCCTTAGTTTCACTCGGGTCTTATAATTCTCCCCCTCTTAAGAACTTTCGTCCCTAAAAGTTTACGGTTCTTATCTTACCTTTGGTGTATTTGTTCTTAGTTATGTTCTTTCAAGCTCCTTAAATATCTTTTTACGGGTTTGTTCTTCTCCGGCTTGTCTTTATAATTATTACTGCGCCCTTTAGTCCATAACTTGTATCCTGAGGCCTTGAGTTATTTGAAATTTATTATTGTTTACCGTTTCTCAACATCCTTTGTTTATAACAAAAATCTTTCTTTGATTATCCTTGTATTACCTTATATATGTTAAGAATTACTAGGTGGGAGTGAGTCCCACGTTGGTTAATTTAGTGAAAGGTCATAGGTTTAATACTCTATCCATTGGTAACGAGGTCTTTTGGGAAACACAAAACAAAGTCACGAGAACTTATACTTAAAGTGGACAATATCATACCATTGTGGAGAGTCGTGATTCTTAAGAAAAGCTTAGAGCGTATTGGCTTCTATATACCCAACAAATCTCGACATAATCAACCAGTACAAAAAATAAAAATAAAAATAAATAAATACAATAGTGTGACGTGGCATGTGATATTTTGTAATCAAGTTGGTTCAATTATTTATGGACAAAAAAGTTGAATTTTTAATACGTACAAAGAAAATCTACGTGCATGCATGAGAAAGGCTTTAATAATGTTAGGCTCTTTGGAGACACAATGACACGTAGGCCCATAATAAACAAAATATATTACCATATAATAACATTTAATTATTACTTTAAATCATATTTTGACGAAATATTTTTTTGGGTATGAAATTTGAACCTTTTAATAACTGAGAGCATATTTTTCGCCAATACTCAACCGTCGTACTAAGCTACGACAGGAGGACATACACTTTTATTAGTAAAATGTCTTTCTCAATACTCAATTGCGTGAGAGCCGTGATTGAGTGTTTTCAAATAAAGACAAGAACGTGTGAAAGTAATGAGAGAAGGCATGCTACATCATTACAAAGTTTTTTTTCTCAATACTCAACCGTGTGAAAGCCATAACTGAGTATTTTCAGATAAAAATAAGAGCAGACTTTTATCGGATGAGACACATATAAAAAAAATAAATAAATAAATAAAAATATATATATTCCAACACATTGTATTTATTTATAAAATAATACACATAAAAAATGCTATTTTTCAAATATAATTACAATTATACTTTTTAAGTAGGAAATAAATTTTGGTAAAATGAAGAGAAAATAGAAGGGTCCCATGTAGGGGTAGATTTGTCCAATGAAAATAGAACAAAGACCATAAATGGATAATAATTGAATGATATATTGTTTGTGATTTAAAAATATATAAAAATGACTTTAAAATACGTTATTAATTATTAAAATCAATTTAAATTTATCTTAAATGATTAAATACATGTTTATAAATAAATTTAAATACAACAGAAAATTTAATAATTTTAAATCCATATCAAACTCATAAATTTATTTATATTTTTGTTTTATTGGCAACCAATCACAACCCAAAATTGAATTATAACAAAAAAAAAAAAAAAAAAATCGCCCGAAAAATTGCCCACCACAACATCCATATATCCATTTAAATTAACAAATAAATGTTTTAAATTTTAAATTAATAAATTGATAATTTTAAATGTTTATTAATCCGTATCTTTATTGTCAATTTAAATATAACTCATATTTATTGTTTAATATTTTATACATATTTAAAATATATACGACTAAAATGATATAAATATCTCTAATATTCAAAGAATCAGAATCACATGTCACGTTGATATTATTATTTAGTCAATTATAAGTTTAGGTTGCAAAATTTTAAGATTCGATTTAATCTATTTTTTTATTTTTTTAAATAATCTTAATAAATTAGCGAAGATAATTTTTAAATTTCACAAAAAAAAAAAAAAATAATGCAATTAAAATTGATTAAAATTGATGCACAAAATTTATAAGAGTTATAAAATAATATTAAAAAATAGAAAGAAAAATAATTGAAAAGAAGAGCCAAACGACATCACTGATCATAACCTCTCAGGCTGAGAGAGAGCGAGAGGGGTGGGGCGTCCACAACTTCAGATTATTGCTATCCTTTCACTCTCCTTTTCAGGCGCGTGGCTTTTACACGCAAAATTGTATAATACCTTAAGCTTAAAAAGAAAAAATCTATAAAATATACATAGCAGTGTGTAACACGTACGTTCATGAGCGCGTGGAGTAACCGAGAAGAATGTCTTATTCACAGGCCTCTCTCTCTCTCTCTCTTACCGAAAAGCTTCAGACAATTACCATAATTTCGTTTTTTTTTTGTTCTTAAATAAATTACGATTTTAATTTAACTTTATTTAATTTTTTAATTATTGGTTTATTCCGTTTCTTGATTCACCTTCTGTTATCATCGTGCCCTAGATCCATGTCCTTCTTTTTCAGGCCCCAGTTCACTCCATAAGCTTCACTCTCTCTCTCTCTCTCTATTTTTCTCTGCATTTTTTGTTCTTTTTTTCTTCTTTCTCTCAGCTGTTTCTAGCCTGGGGAAACGTGGAACTACTTCTAGCGTCTTCCCTTTTGCTTCATCATTGGTTTTTTGTAAGTTCAGTTTATGAATTTGTTTGTTGGGGTTTCTTCTCCATACTCTTTTGGTTGCGATTCAGTGGGATTAGATTACATTTCGTATAGGGATTTTTCTGTAGACTGCTAGTGTTGTTTTGGAATCTATTAGCGTTATTGGATGTGTATTTCGTCTGAATTTTGGAAGGATTTTGCAAGATTTTGGGGTGTAATTGATGAAATTTGTTTGGTTTCTGCTGCTATGAAAGTTGTGGCTATTCTGGTATTTGATAGGGAATGGGAATTGCAGTTCTGATGAGCTAAGTTGTGGGTGTTTTAGGTTTACTTTTGAAGTTTTTTTTTTTGAGTTTTCACGATATGGGTGTGTTAGAAGAGGAGGATGTATTGGTAGTGAATGATTTTGAAGGGTGAATATTGATTCTGAAGGAGGATATTGTTGGGGGTGGTTTGAGTACATTATGGGTTGCGTTTGTTGTAAGCCCTCTGCTATAGAGGATAGCAAGGAAAGTCCGAGGGAGAGGCTGTCGAACAAGACCTCGTCCGACCTGCAGGTGGCAAGAGTGACTTCGTCGTCGAGGGAAGAAGCTTATCGATCTAAAGATCATCATGATGGTAATGATGTAAGAGTGACATTGATTAACAAGCAGGTGAATGGGTCGGGTCGATTGCAGAGTGAGATTTTTGAGAGGAAGAGGGAGAAGATGGAGCATATGGCTGCTCAACATCCTTCAATGGGGAGAATTCCGAAGGCAGCAGAGGGAGACCAAATTGCTGCAGGCTGGCCGCCGTGGCTGGCTGCAGTTGCTGGAGAGGCAATCAGAGGGTGGCTACCCCGACGAGCTGATTCTTTTGAGAAATTGGATAAAGTACGCTCTTTCGTTAATTTACTTTTTGAATTGTTTTATTGGCCCCTTCCCAACAAACACACACCTAGAGAAGAAAGTAGGGGAAAAAATGGACACGCTACACACACCTCGTTCTGAAAATTGATGTTTCTAATCGAGCAATAGACGTCGAGTTGGCATTTTGTGAATGAACATAGTACTCTCCCAGTCTTTTCTTAAGAAATAAGAGATGCACTAGGTGATCCAACAGTGCCCTTTATTGGAGCTGTTCTTGCATTCACGTTATTTATTGAAGGCTGGAGCTGCCCCTCGCATACTTGTAGGTTATGGTGATTAATGTAGCTTGCTTTATGTAGATCGACTTTTTCAGTAGGATAATAGTAAATAATGAGCCTACTTTTTCAGTAGGATAATAGTAAATAATGAGCCTACGGAGTCCGAAAGTTTCACAATTTACACTTTTGTTTTGAGGAACAATCGAAACATACTGGTAACATACCATTTTTTTTGTTAATATTTGGAAATGGCTCTAGTGAAGATGTCTCATAGTAAGTGGGATATTACTTAGAATGGCTCAAGTGGTCTCTCGTCTGTGCATATTGTGCTTGTTCATTTTAATTTTTAGGATGCTAGTAATGATGCTTTGTTTTAAATCTTAATAGGATGATACTAATAATGAAGAAATGATCACTTGTGCAGATTGGTCAAGGGACTTATAGTAATGTATATAGGGCTCGTGACCTTGACCAAAAGAAAATTGTTGCTTTGAAGAAAGTAAGATTCGACAACCTGGAACCTGAGAGCGTCCGCTTTATGGCTAGGGAAATTCACATATTGCGTAGGCTCGATCATCCAAATGTGATAAAGCTGGAGGGTCTAGTTACGTCAAGGATGTCTTGCAGCCTCTATCTTG